CCTAAGTGAAGGCGGGCCAGCAAATCAACAAGAGCCCTCTGTGCAAACATTTCACGAAGTGGGGTCCATACAGTTGCAGCACGCCAGTTGGTTGGCGTGCACCAAGTCTCGAATCTCTGCAAATGTGGAGATCCCAGGGCCTCTGAGTTAGTTAGGCCCTGGGCACTTGAACGTGAGGCCGACAATGCATGCTGGGTATAGAGGCCGGAAATGCCAAAGGGAAATCGGCCCACTATCTGAATCTGGCCGCAGGCCTTGACAAAAGAGGCGCAACTGCATCACCCGGGCCCCAACTGCATCGGGCCTGGGTTCAGGCACTGGGGCCCAGTCGCAGGCTGAAGGGAGGCCGCCCACACGCAACACTGGCATATAGGCAAGCAGGGCAAGTGGGCAGGGATCTTGGTCAATGCGAGCATTGCCGGCACGCTGCGCGAATGCGAGCTGCTGCTGCGCTGCGCTAGGAAGAGGTGCGAGGCAGGCAGGCGCTAGGCGGTAGGGCGCTGCCTGTGCACTGTGCGCTGGCGGCCATAGCCGGGCTGCATGGGGCGCAGGTGAGGTGAGGGCGAAGGTGGTTCTTCGGAGGTGAAGGGCGCTGTGTGGGTAACAAGGGAGAGTGTGGATGAAGAGGACACATACCTGGTGGAGGTGGAGGTTGGCATTGGTGTTGACGTCATCACTCGCTGGTAGTCAAGTTGTCTGGTTGCTTTCATTGCTGTAGTTGTAGGCTTAGTCTGTAGAGTAGATAGGGCGCCTGGCGCCATTCACAAGAGAAAGTTACATTGGGTTATGCTGTTGGTGTTGCCTTGTTGGGCTTGGACATTGACTCACGATTCTTCTGTATCATTCTCAATTGGATGGTTACTCGGTTCCATTGTGCTATCTGCTCTGGCTTTGACTACTTGGACTTCAGTGTGACTTTGCATTCTGGATTTCTGTGCTTCGTCCATATTCATGTTCCTTGCAATTTGGTATCGGAGCTGGTATGATTCACCACTTACCTTTGGCACGCTGGCGTTATACAGACTTGGTGCGTTGATGATGCTTCTTCACAGTTGGTGCTTGTGACGTCAGGCCATTGATAGGTGCACGCCCTGGGTAGAGAGGGGTGCGCCGGAAGGCTAAGACGACAATATATGCCGTGGTGACAGGCGGAATGTATGATTGGTGATGAGAGCATGCTGATGTGGCATTAGGCTGAGGTGGCACTGCATTGCGTTGTGGGTGGTACCGAGGCCAAGGACCGGTCATCAAATGCACACTCAGCTCAATTGGTGAGAAATCTGTGGTTGGGGGCAGCTATCTCCAGGTACGTTGTTCCCTTACCTTATCTACTCTCTCAATCTCTTCTTACCGTGAGGAAGTGAGTCCAACTTGAGAGTCCTCTCTTTTGGTGAGGTGTCGTGAGCGCGCTACCTTGAGAGATGACAATCTTCCTGGAAGCATTTGGAAGGAGAAAGGGTGGTGCCTCTGAAGGGCCCTGGTCGAAGCATTGGGTCACGATTACCATGCCAACCCAATGGGAGTAGGTCACGAATGAGATGGCTGCTGTCCATTTTGGCACTTGCTGCGCTGAATAGAAGTCCTGCCGGGTGTGCCAGCCTTTTATGAGACGCTTACCAGACCGTCTATAAACATTTCTGGTTGGGGACTTGGTTGATTCTGGCTGTGATCGTCGTCCTGACTGCGACGTTAAAGAATTCCTGAAGAGATGGGGGCGCTCTATAAATTCCTCCTGATCAGCCACATCAACCGGGTGTAAGGCTCGTTCCGTATGAGGGTAAATAAGAGTGGACTGGCTGGCTTGCTCGACAACGACTTGGGCACAGGGGTGGGCCGACAAACACACGAAAGACACCGCTGCTCAATGATGCTGTTCGGTATGTTGGATTGAGGGGAAGGGTAGGTTCTAATTGGTGCTCAACTGGATACACAACCATACCCACTCATCATACATCTGCAACATGGTCTTTGTTTATTTTGATTAGTTGGTTGACAACTGCTAATACCTCACAGACAGATTAGAGTAGGACTGTTGTAGACTACCATAGCCAGTTCTATCTAATGCTGCTGTAAGTGAACTAATCAGATTACACCTAGACTATGTTACAATCTGTTGTGAATGTTGTAGGCTGCCATTTGATCGGTAAAGTAGGGGACCTGCCGGACACAATTATTTTTAAAAAATTAGGTGTCGGTCAGACACATGCTGCGGTAGGACTTCAACAGAGGGTTGTAGTGCAGATATTGTCTGCCTAAATGATGAGTGGATCAGACCCCGATGAGGGTAGAGTTGACGATGTGAGACTTACACGTTCGGGAGCACTTAGGGTCCCGCACGTGTATCAGGCCTTACAACCGGAAGACAAACGACGGATTTGTGCCGAACGCAGAGCCCGGGCACTAGCAGCAGGGATAGCAGCAGCAAACGCAGCAGCTAGAGAGCAGGCAGCCGCAGCCAGAGCAGCAGCAATGGCTAACGGCACAAGCTCTGCTGCGTCATCATCTGCATCCTCGTCAGGGACCAATGAGACTCTGTTGGGAATGCCCCACGGTACTTCCGGGGCAGTAAGTACTAGTCAGTCCACAAGTCGAATGGCGGGCTAGCAGTTTAGCCCGTTGACCCCACACGGCAAGGAGCTCTTAGAGCTCCAACAGGTCGAGAGGATCCGCCTGAAGTTAGAAAGGGAACTGAAGCTAGCAACCGACAGAGAGAACGAGATCAAACGAAGAGTAGCCGGGCTTGAAACGTTAGAGGCAGACAAGGCTGAGTTAGAGGGTTTGGATGAGTCAGCCTTATCTGACCAAATGAAAGTGTTGAAGAACAACATGCTGTCGCTGCATGCGCACGTGGACGGCAGGTTGGACTTCATGCAGAACACTTTAGACCAGATCCTGGATATTTTGCAAAGGCCAGGATATAGGCCACCAGCACAGTCGCCGTTGCCGTTGACGGCGTTGTCTGGCCCCTTTCCAGTTCAGGCTGGCACACAACCAAGTGGCACGTCAGCAGCAGTTGCACAGACTGTTGCTTCTTCTTCTTCGGGTCCAGCGGGGGGAGCTACACCACCGCAACAACCTGTTCCTCAACAGGGACAGCCGCATGGTCAATGTTTCCTAAGACCCCAATGAAACCGCCTCTTGCCTTCTCAGGCGAGAGAAAGGACGAGGAACTCAACACTTGGTTGAGAACAGTCCCGGTTTGGGTGAAGGCAAAGAGAACCTTGCTGGAGGGTGAAGTGGTTACTGCTGCATCTTACCTTGAGGGTAAAGCAGGCAAATGGCTAGATGGTGTAGTTGTGAAGGCCGGGTACGGACGACGTATAGCGGACTGGGCTAAGTCACTTACGTTAGGAGATGGTAGAAGCTCGATGGCATAATCCACAGGAGGCACAAAGAGTCATTGATGCGATCAATAGACTAGACCAACGAAAGTTCAAGTCGGTCAGAGAGCTTACGACTACCGTGGAGAGCCTGATCCTCGTCCCTGACATCAACTATAGTGACCAGTTCCTGTTAACTACGTTTGTTAGATGTCTTCCAGAGAACATCAGGAACTTGCTGGCCAGAGAGGCCCGCCTCGAGTACCATTCGTTTGAAACATTGTCTAGGAAAGCCTTAGATTTGGAGGTCACTCGAGGCAATGCTCAACCCTCCCAGAATGACACGAAAAAGAAGAAGAGTCCGCAGAAGTGGAAGAAGAAAGGGGCCAAGTTGATGATGGTTGAGTCCGATGAGACTCAAACAGAGATCGATGAGCTCACCGACCTGCTGGAAACTCCAGAGTACAACGGCGAGGAGGTAGTTGAGGGTAGCACCCTCGCCGCAGTAGTTAAGGCTAAGGCTAGTGGCCGAGTGAAGGGCCAACCAAAGAGTCACGGGAAGACCGCCTCCAATCAGACCAAAGTGGCTAATTGGGTGAAGGCGGGTCTTGATCAAGAAGTGTGGCGGGACCGCCGAGTGCGTGGTGCTTCGGACACACCCAGTACAAGTGTCAGAACGCTAAGGTCACGCAGAAGATACCTCCTAAGATGGGGGCATCTTCTTCCCAGGCTTCTCGCTCGAGAAACCAATGAGGCCGGTGGAAGTTTTAGCTGCTTCTACTCAAGATGAAGTGGGTCCGATACCCTCCCCACTTCATGAATAGGCGAAAGCTAATGACTCTTTAATCACCCCGCAGATTCATCTAAACCAAACTATGCTCTATACGTTAGATGTGTCTGAAGCCTTAGAAGACTTGGAAAGTGAGTGGTCAAACAAGGACCCTCGCGAGTCTTGGGTGGCGCTAAGAAAAGGTCCTAGAGGGGAACATTTCGTGGTGGAAGTGGATGTAGGAGGCCGCAAATGTAGTGCCTTCATAGACATAGGCTCCACGCGAAATTACATAAGTCGCGACTGTTTGGAAAGGCTGCACCTACAGGACCGGGTACAACACCTTAGTAGACCTATAGCATCTACTTTGACCAACAAGGAGCGCATGATAGTAATAGACTATATCAAGGACGTAGTCTGCACCTTCTCCTATGGAGGAGGCGAACTTAATCATAAGATTTTATTCTTGGTTAGCGACGACTTACCATTCGACATGTTGTTAGGCATGTACTACCTCGAAGTTGCTAAGCCCCAGTTTGACTGGGATAAGAAGGTGCTCAAGCATAAGTTGCCCGATGGCCAAACTGTCAGATTGACTAAGTTCAAGGTCAGTAGCATTATAGATACCTATGGCGGCTTGTGTGCATCAGCGTTTTACAAGTATTATGAGCAAAACCAAGAGGAGGGTATGTACTTAGTGTATGTCTCTGAGAAAGGGGAGGCCGTTAAAACATCCCCAGAGATAGAACGCGTCGTTGCTAAGTTCCCTGATCTGTTCGAAGAGCCTACAGGGGTCGTAGAAAGGAAAGTTGTCCACACTATAAAAATCATTCCAGGGAGTAAAACCCCAAAGGGAAGGATCTATAGGATGGCTCCCGCCGAGTTAGATGAACTCCGACGAGAACTGAAAGAGCTGACAGAGAAGGGATGGATTCAGCCTAGTACTTCCCCTTACGGATCTCCCGTGCTTTTCGTACCGAAGAAGGGGGGTACACTGAGGATGTGCATTGACTATAGAGGCCTCAATGCCATCACTGTGAAGAACGCAGAGCCTCTACCTCCCATAGACGACCTATTGGATAGGGTGCAGGGATGCAAGTACTATAGTAAGATAGACTTGAAATCCGGATATCATCAGATCGCAATACGACCCGAGGACCAACACAAGACAGCCTTTCAGACCAGATACGGTCTGTATGAGTTCGTAGTGATGCCCTTTGGTCTTTACAATGCGCCGGGTACATTCCAGCACGCTATGAATCGGATCTTCCATGACCATCTAGATAAGTTTGTCGTGGTTTACCTAGACGACATTCTGATCTTTAGTAAGTCTGCCGAGGAGCATGCACAGCATGTTGAGACGATAGTTTCACTCCTTCGACAACACAAGTACAAGGTCAACTTAGAGAAGTGTGAATTCGGTCGCACTAAGATATTATACTTGGGTTATGAAGTATCCGTGGAAGGTATTAGGCCGGAAAATGCGAAGGTGGCTAGTATTCGAGACTGGCCACGACCTCAAACAGTCACTGAGGTCAGATCTTTCTTAGGAATGTGCGGCTACTATAGGAACTTCGTAAAGAATTATTCTACAGTCGCCTCTCCTTTGACAGATCTAACTCGACTTGACACACCGTGGGACTGGAGTGATGAGTGCGAGGGTGCTTTCAAGCGATTGAAGCATGCACTCATGAATCATGAAGTTCTCATGGTTCCCGATCCTCAGAAGCCATTCATAGTGACCACTGACGCAAGCGAATACGGCATTGGCGCAGTGCTGGCTCAATAGGATGGGAAGAAGTTGAGACCGATTGAGTACATGAGCAAGAAAATGCCATCGAAGAAATTGGCAAAGTCCACCAACGAAAGGGAACTCTATGCTCTATATCAAGCACTTGTCCATTGGAGACACTTCCTATTGGGAAGGTTCTTCTACTTGAGGACTGATTATCAGACCCTCAAATGGATCAAGACTCAACCGACTCTTTCTGATGCACTCAAGCGATGGATTGAGGTCATAGATCAATATGACTTCAAGCTTGAGTATCTGAAGGGAGAGTACAATAAGGTTGCAGATGCGCTATCACGTAGGGCAGACTACCTAGGTGCGCTAGTTTCCGACTTTGGCGTATCTGATGAAGTAACTCAATCGTTGGTGGGAGCCTATCAGGAAAACCCTGTCACGATGGACATCATTCGCAAACTTCAGGCAAAAGACAAGGCCACAGAGAGTGAGTTTGTGATGGTGGACGGACTTCTCTATCTTGATAAGGCCGGAATAAAAAGATTAGTAATTCCATCTAGCGAACGTTTGCGTAGTTTATTTCTAGGAGAATGTCATGACGCAACCGGACACTTTGGCTACAAGAAGACGAGTGTTAATCTAGTACAACGATTTTGGTGGCCTGGAATGTTAGATGACGCAGAGAAGTACGTAGAGACCTGTCAGGTCTGTCAGCGGGACAAGCCGCGAACTCAAGCACCGCTTGGGTTGTTGAAGCCCTTACCTATCCCCGCTGGTCTAGGACAGAGTGTTTCCATGGATTTCATGGATACCTTGGTGACCAGCAAGAGTGGCAAGAGGCACATATTCGTCATCATCAGTCAATTCACCAAGTACGCTAGACTAGTTGCAATGCCAGAGACCGCAAGGACTGACCATGTCATCAAGTTGTTCAAGGACAACTGGGTGCGCGACTTTGGTTTACCCAAGACCATCGTTAGTGACAGAGATGTCCGCTTCACAAGTGAGCTATGGAAGAAGACTATTGAACAGATAGACAATCAACTTCAAATGACTTCAGGGAATCATCCCGAAGCCAACGGACAAGCCGAACAAATGAACAAAGTTGTACAACACTTGCTGAGGCATTACATCAAGCCCGACCAGGATGATTGGGATGAGCAATTGCCTCTCATCGCCAGCCTGTACAACAATGTTGTACACAGCAGTACCGGCGTTAGTTCTAACCAGCTGCACTTGGGATGGACGCTTAGATCCGCCCTAGACTTCCTCCTTCCTGAAAACCGACCCGCTGCAACTCCAGGCACACTCGAGTATGGTGTGCAGTATGAGAAGTTGCTGCAAGAAGCTGTCGAGCATATGAAGAAAGCTCAGCAAGCAATGATTGCTTCTGAGAATCAACATCGTAGACAGTCCTCATTTCAAGTAGGGGAACGATTCTGGGTCAAGGCTAGTGAGCTAGGACAAGAATTCAGAATCTCTTGTAAACTAATGTCTCAGTATTTTGGTCCATGGGAAGTCCTAGATATAGTGGGAGATGAGATGGATGGTCCCACATATGTCATCCGTGTTCCTGGACACCTGCACACTTACCCTGTCTTTCATGCCTCAAAGCTCGCACCTTTCGCTGAGACACATCAATTCCCTTCCAGGAGATCGGTGCTGCCCCCAACCATGGATGGTCAAGTGGGCATCGACGACATTGTGGATCACAGGGACATGCCTGTTTCAAAGCCGCTGGGCCGAGGAAGACCTCCCAAGCCCAAGAGAGAGTACCTCGTCAGATTCAAGCATCACACGGATCCAAAAGAAGATCGTTGGTTTACTAGACAGGAACTGATTGAGACAGCTCCTTAGGTGTTGGTAGATTATGAGAGAAAACTGAAAGGGAAGGCACTTGCGAAGTAAGCATCTCAGCGGACTTTTGAAGCTAAGGGGGATGGAATGTGAGGATTGAGCCCTCAAGAAGGGGCCTTGCCATGGTGTACATGTTCTGGGCTAAGGCCCCAGCAAGCCTCGTGCCCGCCCTAAGTGGAGGCGGGCCAGCAAATCAACAAGAGCCCTCTGTGCAAACATTTCACGAAGTGGGGTCCATACAGTTGCAGCACGCCACTTGGTTGGAGTGCACCGAGTCTCGAATCTCTGCAAATGTGGAGATCCCAGGGCCTCTGAGTTAGTTAGGCCCTGGGCACTTGAACGTGAGGCCGACAATGCATGCTGGGTATAGAGGYCGRAAATGCCAAAGGGAAATCGRCCCACTATCTGAATCTGGCCGCAGGCCTTGACAAAAGAGGCGCAACTGCATCACCCGGGCCCCAACTGCATCGGGCCTGGGTTCAGGCACTGGGGCCCAGTCGCAGGCTGAAAGGAGGCCGCCCACACACAACACTGGCATATAGGCAAGCAGGGCTAGTGGGCAGGGATCTTGGCCAATGCGAGCATTGCTGGCACGCTGCGCGAATGCGAGCTGCTGCTGCGCTGCGCTAGGAAGAGGTGCGAGGCAGGCAGGCGCTAGGCGGTAGGGTGCTACCTGTGCACTATGCGGTGGCGGCCATAGCCGGGCTGCATGGAGCGCAGGAGAGGTGAGGGCGAAGGTGGTTCTTCGGAGGTGAAGGGCGCTGTGTGGGTAACAAGGGAGAGTGTGGGTGAAGAGGACACGTACCTGGTGGAGGTGGAGGCCGGCATTGGTGTTGACATCATCACTCGCTGGTAGTCAAGTTGTCTGGTTGCTTTCATTGTTGTAGTTATAGGCTTAGTCTGTAGAGTAGACAGGGCGCCTGGCGCCATTCACAAGAGAGAGCTACATTGGGTTATGCTGTTGGTGTTGCCTCGTTGGGCTTGGACATTGACTCACGATTCTTCTGTATCATTCTCAATTGGATGGTTACTCGGTTCCATTGTGCTATCTGCTCTGGCTTTGACTAATTGGACTTCAGTGTGATTTTGCATTCTGGATTTCTGTGCTTCGTCCATATTCATGTTCCTTGCATCTCTCTCTCTCTCTCTCTCTCTCTCTCTCTCTCTCTCTCTCTCTCTCTCTCTCT